AGATGAGTTATTGAGTTGTATATAAACCACTTTGTACATTATTTTTCATTAATGAGAATGTTTACAATTTACTCATAACTACACATATTTGTATTGTGGGTAACAATGTTGATTCAGAAAAATATATCGAGCCTTTTAAAAGGAGGACTCAAAAGAGTGGTCAGAGCAAGGATTGATCGTCGACCCTATAGTAACCACCGACGTCGAGAGAGGGTCCTTCCGGTCTCAGAAACGGTAGCTCTTTTTAGAAGTAACGAAAACCATTATAACTTACGATTTTGGGTTAAAACCTATAATTTCCCGTCCTTTTTTTGTAGAAAAGTTCCGTTAACTCCACACAAGTTGATCATTAATTGTTATTTCTGTTCACAAAACTTTATGGAGAAATCCTTTAGAAACTATAGCATGGTGAGTAATACGAATATGCAAGAGAGAAACTTGTCAAGTTCAGAGTAACATGGAGATGAGAAATGTTTATCATTTTCCTTCAATATTGTAAAGGGAAACATATTATAAGACACCGGCTGGTATTGGAGCGTTTAAACCGAAGAAATTAAATGAATTTAATCATACAAAAAACAGCAATCTTTTAGTTTATTATTAAAATACTATGATAATGGGATTATCAAATAGTCAATACTAACATTGAGCGAAGAAATGTTTATCACTTTCCTCTTCAATATTGTAAAGGGATACATATATACATTTATAAGAGACCGGCTGATATTAGAGCGTTTTAAGCAAATAAAGACAATGAGTACTTTTCGTAATGTTGATAACGATAGTTTAACAATTATAGCTTGAAAGATTTACCCATATTCGTTTGTTACCACCTTTAAAGGCAAAACAAATTAGTAAAAATACCTTTCTTAAAACAAAAAATCAAACTTTCTTTCATAACTCATTATAGTATTCTAAATCTTTTTTATTACATTTTCTTGTCTTGGTTACAATAATAGAACCGAAAATTAATTGTTTTGGTTAGAACAAACACTTTGCCAATGAACTAGTTAATAATAAAAACACAAAACTAAGGCGTAAGAAGAAACAACGAATAAGATGATAAAACCTTTTTTTTTGGTCAACCAAACTTAAACCGCAGAAACAAAATCAAATGAATTTAGTTTATTATTAAAGTACTATGATTAATGAAATAATTCTGCAAATGTTTATCAATACTAATGTGTAAAATCCAATAACTATGTTTTTGTAGGTTAAGATAAGAATGGGATAGTCAGTACTAAAATATTATTTTTTGGGTCAACAGTCAATACTAATTTATAAAATTCATAAATCTAAACAAATCATAGATTTGGTTTGGTTTAAAAAGAAAAAGAAGCGAATTTAAACAAAACCTCTTGCTTAAGGACAACATGACTCTAAACCTAATCTTCATAGAATTCGGTTTGATTTGGTTTGGTTAATATTATCTTTTGATTTGAGCCATTAGAAATTATGGTTTATTTTCTCAAATGTAAGAAGTTGAAACACATTCATTGAACCAGGCTCTTTTTATTTTTTTCGGTTAAACCAACTTAATTGAACCTAATAACAGAACCATGGAACGATTTTCAAATAATTATTATACATATTTTCTGAGAAATCACAGTCAGTTT